CCAAAAATTATCCAGTTGAGACATCCCTTAGGACGTTCAAAGCAATAGTCGCCAACTAACAGTGCAATGCCAGCAACCACCACCTACACAACCACCTTATTGATCATGGCTATGTCCTGGCAGGTAAGTATGAATTTACAAGAGTGAGAATATCCGCTGTATTTATAGATGTTCGGGTTGTGCTCAGCAAAGTTTATCAAATTGTGGGATTTGTCATCTATTTATGATTGGCTAAATTTATCATGTGTTCCACGTGAATACATGGAATGAAAATCTTTGTGCGCCTTTAATCGGTGCTCATCCGCGGGTTCGCTCCGGGCATTCGTATAAACTGTAGATAGATAAAGCATGGTTAATTAGTGCACAATCGTTATAAAATTGAAGGAGATTTCAAGTTTCTGATTCGGAGACTTGAATAAATGTGATCATAAATAATAATATTTCTCCAAGTTTGCATCGATTTGTCGTCATCATCTATTTTATGTTAAAAAAAAAAAAAATCTATTCAGAAACTTACCTATAGCATATACACACTAATAAAAAGATCCGAGAACAACCACCTTATATATATATATTTAGGTGGGACAAGATTTGTACTTCTAATTGGTTGATTATTTCAGTCTACTCGCTATCTTCGTAGTTCACGCAATTTCCATAAAGAACATTATTATGCCTCAACCACCTAAAGATCCGTGGGCTCGTCGAGAGGCATGGCGATATCTTCCTCGATTTTCTACTGCAAACTCTTTTAGAAACCTTTGGCCAGGTTTCACGTGGGGACTTGGTGCTTTTGTAATCTATCTTGGATACGACACTTTAATTGCTCAAAGTCACCACCATGGCAGTAACAACCATACATCTCGCACTCCGGAAACCAAGCAGGAATCAAATCAAAGTTGAACGTGAACGAAAAAAAAAAGAATTTGCAGAAGATATTCGGTCTTCTCTCACCCTCTCAATTATCATTAGGTAATATTCCACTATTGAAATCAATTTTCCATATACTATGACTTTATTAATTACTAGCACATTTTTAAAACTATCATCTCTTTTAATGCATCTCATGTGTATAACATTGCAATACGTTTTTCAACCTTCAAGAAGAATTCAACCATATTATCGTATTACTTACCTACAGTTGCCGATCTTTCTGATAAATAGAGTTTACGGCTTGTCTCGGTCCTTAAATACGACCTTATTAAATGATGTAATAGATTGAGGGATGAATGCATTAATTTTATCTATAACCAAACTCGATTAAAACGCCGTGGAAATCACTTGGGAAACTTTCCTAGAATTCAACATCACGATCAACCTAAATCACATTCAGGGTCGTTTGTTCGGTCTACTTTGTGACTCTACTTGTTTTCTTATGTCGGATATTAAAGCATTGACATCTAAAGTATCGGCGTTTTTGACTGACTCATCAAGAGTGGGTGGTGTTGCTGGCATTGCACTGTTAGTTGGCGACTATTGCTTTGAACGTCCTAAGGGATGTCTCAACTGGATAATTTTTGG